AAAAAAAAAGATTACAATATTTGATTAATTATAGGTTATTATCGATAATCTAGTAAGTTTTTTAAGACATTTATCGTGCATCAAACATTTCTAGTAAGTTTTCTTTAACTAAATAATAATATCATGCACGTTCRTATAAAAATATCCATTGATTGGTTAATTGTAAAAAAAATAAATCCTTAAGTACTAAACCGTTTATAATTTTAAACAAGTTTATATAATATTGTAATAAACAGGGTTAGGGACTAAATGAATTTGCATATTTCAATTGTAATATGGTCCGAAATAATAGATAAGGGAAATAAAAAGTACTTTTTAATGAAAATAAATTAAAAACAATTATTTACAAGAATTAAAAATGTCATAAAAACTGAATTATTTATAAATATATTTATTTATTTTTTTGGACAACTAGTATTTATTTTGATATGATTTWAATTTTTTGTTTGATCAGCACATACATTTTAACCGAGAACTTAACACCAAACTTATTTCTATCACTATGGCGTACCTATACCTTAGTAAAAGTTGTTTAAAATAAATATGAAGTTATACTCGTATATCATCATTCAATTTTTGTCATTTGATAATAATAATTGATAGAGAAAACTGTCGATTAGTCTTAACATATTAATACAAATGGGTTATGGACATCTATTATTATTGATTATGTCGTTGATTGAACAGTTATCATCTGTAAATAATATTATGATGTATAGCTAGATATTACGTTTTACAAGGTTGTGTATGTATGTGTAMTGCGTGCATATACGTATGTGTGGATATAGAAAACTCGTAATTTTTTAAACTTAATCACGCTGACAAGCATTCAAAAAAATAAAAATRAATATTCACAGGCCAATTAAATCCAAAATTAATTTTCAGGTGCAGCAAATGCACCAATAACAGTCGTAACCTAACCTTTTCATACCGTACATAAAAATTTTAATTGAATTCAGAACCTATTCTTTGTTTAATTTATCACTAAAATTTACTATTTATACAATTTTGTAACACAGTAAATCATTATAATGATATAATAATT